GCCCCCGATTGGGGACCAAGCTCGCAACCGGGGCATGTGCCCTGACTGGGAATTGAACCCTGATCCCCTGGATCCCTGGTCAATGCTCAACCACTGAGCCACGCCCAGCTGGGTGATAGTGGATTTTTAATGGTGGCTAATTCTCAGATCAGCCTTCAGAGCTCTAGAAAACCTACAGTGCTTATCATTTTATTCTAGAACAAAGAATTACCATCAATGTGGTGGTTTTAAAGGGAGGTGTGCTCAGAATTCTTGACTAGAGGTGTCTCCCTTTGCTATAACTATAATGTGGGAAGAGGGGCTTTTTCCCTCACCAGGCTGCTGGTACTGTGTTTCAGAAGAGAGGGCATGCCCAGCCGGGTATGGCTCAGCGGTTGAGCATCGACCTAGGATCCAGGAGATCGAGGTTCGATTCCCGGTCAGGGCACATGCCCGGGTTGCGGGCTCGATCAATGACTCTCTCATCATTGATGTTTCTATCTCTCTCTCCCTCTGCTGCCCTCTCTCTGAAATCAATAAAGATATATTTTAAAAAAAAATTTAAAAAAAAACAAAAACAAAAAACCTAATTGTTAAAAAAAAAAAGAAGAAGAAGAGAGGGCGTTGTTGATAGAGAAGAGGAAAGCTTAGAGAGAAGAGGCATTTGGGGCTCCCAAAAGTGATGGTGAAGAAAAAGTGTTCAGGTGTGCTGACCAGTCCTGGAGCAGGATGAGGAGGGTGCTTGCAGTTGGGCCAGTGCTGAGGGTTCTTGGGCTTGCAGAGGAAGTGTGCCTCCCCTTTTTATGGTCCCTGAGTGGGTGAGGAGAGGAGCTAGAGGTGAGCACTTTACCTCTATTCTCTTCCTGTTGTCCCTGTCTTACTGTTAGAAGCTCCACTATTAATGCTAGATAGGAGGGACCTGGAACGAAGAGAGTCATGTGAGAATTATGGGTGGGGCACCTGAGAATTATGGTTGGAGTCATCCTGAGAATCTGCAGGATCAGAGAAGGAAGGATGAGGGCAGGGGAAGCTCCACTTGCCCTCTGAACAGAGGAGCTTTATTCGTACTGAAGTGACTCAGGCTGTACACTGCCCAAGCTGACCTCAAACTATGGAATCTTCCCACTAAGCACAGTTTGTTGCCTGATTTGGTTGTTACAGGCTGAAGAGTCGTGCTAGTTAACATTTGTTAAATGTGGGTGTGATACATTTGTGTGTGTTACCTTACTTTCTCTATTCTCACTGGTGCAGTATTTCATAGTAATGAAGACAAGGCTGTGGGTTTGGTGTGAAGAGCAAACATGATCTGTTCCTCAGCCTTGTACTTGGCTAAATAAGCTGAGTGTCACTCATATTGCTTATAGGGATTGATGTAACCACAGGGTTACAGAAGTATTAATGATTCAGGAGGACTCTTATATTCCATTCACTTATTCTCTTAGCAAACTATTGTAATTTTATGAATGAGAGTACACACTTTTTCACACCCCTTATTTGTTGAATAGTTTTTTAACAAATAGATACTTTATATCTAAATTCTCCAGTTCTGTACAGTTCAACCAATAAAAATTTCAACAACTTCGTTGCATTGATACCCCACTAATAGAAAAACTTCAGAGGGCTTTGCATTCATCAGTATGCTTATTGCTTTTTAAACTAGCAAGCAAAAAATAGAAAGTCAATGTAATTGTCTTTTATTTGTCTATTTGTTTTCTTTTTATGATCAGCAGACATTTTAATTTCTTGATAGGTCACTTGTAATGTGTAACTAGGGACTTCATTTTCAAACATTGAGTTTGAATCAATGGGCAGGTGTGGAATTTGGAAACAGTATGAAAATAACATCATTTATTTTTGTAGACTTTGTAATTTTCTTCTGGAAAATCCAGATTATCCAAAGAGAGAAGATCGAGTCATTATCAACCCCAGCAGCAGCCTGCTTGCTAGCCAAGAGGAGACAAAGGCAAGTACCAAGCTCTTGTTTTGCAGCCTCTGCCTGGAAATGCTCTGCTTTTCATCATCTTTACGTGAAGAAAGTGCTTTGTCAGGACACCAGTTTAAAGACTAGCCAGGAAAATAGGATTTCAGAATATATTTATACTTCAGTGGTATTTCCCAATTTGAGCCACTTTGAATTCTGTATTTAACTTCTTTTATTGTTTCTCTTTCTCACAAAAAATTAAATCCTCCTGTCTGGCTGGTGTGGCTCAGTGGTTGAGCATCAACCTATGCGGTCACTGGTTTGATTCCTGGTCGGGGTACATACCTGGTCAGATTTCAAGCTAGATTCCCAGTTCGGGGGGTGCAGGAGGCAGCTGATCAATGTTGATGTTTCTCTCTCATCAATGTTTCTCTCCTTCTCCCCTCTTTTCTCTCTAAAATCAATAAAAACATATTTTTTAAAAATCCTCCTATCTTTAATCCTACAAAATAAGTTCCTAAAATGAAACAAGAATTGGCCAGGATTTTTTATATCATATCAGTTATTTTTTACCATTGAAAATTGAAAGTATATGAAAAATTTTAATTATATAGTCATGTTAAAAGATTTTACATTGATCACCTCTATACCCAGCAGCAGTACTGTTAAAAGTTAACATTTTATTATATCCATTTTGTCACATATCTGTCCCTCTGTCCATCAGCACCTCTCTCTTATATTTCATTTCATTATAATACATTTAAAACGAAATCGCAAAAGCATTGATATACTGCCCCAAACATACTTCAACCTGCAGATCACTGCTTAGAGTTCAATATCTGATTATAGTTTTCTGTTTATTTGTTTTTTCCTCACCCAAAGATATGTTTTTTGATTTTAGAGAGAAAGGTGTGGGGAGGAGAAACATCGATGTGAGAGAGAAATATCGATTGGTTGCTTCCGATACGCACCCTGACCAGGGATTGAACTCGCAACCCAGGCATGTGCTCTGACTGGGAATCGAACCCACAACCTTTTGGTGATGGGACGATGCTCCAACCAACTGAGCCATCTGGCCAAGGCTGTTAATAGTTTTAATATAAAAATTATATACAATGTGTATACCTGTGTAACCAAATCCTGTATCAAAATATAAACAGTTTGATTTTTTTAAATCTTAATCATTATCACCCCAGCCGGATGGCTCAATTGATGAAGCATCGTCCTGTACACCAAAAAGCTTGTAGGTTCGATTCCAGGTCAGGGCGCACACCTAGGTTGCAGGTTCGTTTCTCTCTCTCTCCCTCTCTCCCCCTTCCTCTTTTGCTCTCTCTCTCCCTCTTCTAATCTCTCTGAAAAGCAATGAAAAAATATCTTTGGGTGAGGATTAAAAAACAAAAACCCCAGCAAAAACCATGTTTAGTAGAGTATAGGATAATCAATACTTAATAGTTGAATAGTTATTAGGTAGCAACTCTGTGAGATATGTCCATTTAGAAATATGTTGTTTTAAAATACGCTTTCAGGTGACCAGTGTAGACCTACATACAAATGCAAAAAATTTTTTTTAAGAAAAATGTTTTCCATGCATTTTATGAGCACAAGTTTGTGTAAAACAATGAAAAATCTGCTTCTGGAAATTCTATAGTCTGGGAATCCCAAGGAACTTCCTCCTTGTTTGATGCCAACCAGAAACAAATAAAATATAAACAATGCTTAGGAAAAGTGACCCAACCCCTGATTTGACAAGGCCTTAGCTCAGTTTTTTGCCCATTAGCATGTCATCAAACAACCTGTGGATTTGGTACAGATCCCAGTGAAAGAATCTATGAAGTTTAAGTAAATGAAATTACTGTCTCGTGCAATATTTGGGAAGCAAATCATAACTGAAACAAGAATGAACTTGGAGCCTGGACACTAATCTTATACCTTAGACAGCTAAGGGAAGGACTAACTGCTGACCAGATTTCTGGCTACAGTCAGTCAAGTGAGAGTCAGAGGGGTAAAGATCATTTACTTTTAGAAAGTCAACAGACTTACAATTATTTAACTCAAGATATTTTAATATAAGGTGATGTATTTGATTTTTATTTTCTTCTACGACCTGTTCTTGACTCTTCTTAGACCACACTCTTCATAGTTGCTTCCATTTTGTTTGCTATTTAAAAAAATTGAATATATAATTCAAATACCATAAGGTTTATGATTTTAAAGTGCAAAATCATAGTGACTGCAATATGTTCAAAACATAAAGCCAAATGTAGTAGTAGCCAATGCTGCCTAGGGAAAGAAATAATAGTTGCAACAAAAAAACAGACAAAGCGAAAAGCTTGGGAGGAATGGCTGGTGAAGGAGATGCTTTGGGAAAAGACCTGAGAAGACCCTACAATCTCACCTCTCTGGCTGACCTTCAGGTTTTGCACATAAAGTGAAGGCTAAGAAAGAGTTGTAAACTGCCTGAATGTTGAAGATGTGCCTCAACATACACATGAGCCCATCTGCAAAGACTGGGGAGTTTTGTGTTTGTTCACAAGTATTTAGGTAAATCTCTTTTAAATAACCAGCTGACCACTAAGCTAATGGAACAGACTTCAATGGCCACACACACAAAAAATTACAACGTTGTACAAAATTAGTTTGGCAAAGTCACTAAAGAAACAACTACAACAAGGAGAACAACCCTGGGGAGAAGGGGAAAATCTGGTTTCCAGAGCTGCCACATTATAGTATTCAAAATGTCCAGTTTTCAATAAAAATTACAAGGGATGCAAAGAAATAGGAAAATATGGATTATACACAGGAAAAAAAGAAACTGTCCCTGAGGAAGTCCACACATTGGACTTACTAGACATAGACTTTAATTAGGTATTTTAAGTATGTTCAAAGAGCTAAAGGAAACCACATACAGAGAACTAAAGGAAACCATACGAATGATGTTTCATCAAAACGAGAATACCAAAAGAGAAAAATTATAAAAAAAAGAAACCAAACAGAAACTCTGGAGTTGAAAACTACAATAATTGAAATAAAAAGTTACTAGAGGGTTTACACTAGCGTTTCAGTAAGTTTTTGTATCTAGTAGCACAACTCCTTTCCCCACCTTTCTTTGGGGTTTTGGAAAAGCTTGCATATTTATTCTTCATAAAAACTTTAGAATAATTTTGTCTATAATAGTCTGACTAGAATTTTATTAAATTCTGCAACTTGGCCCAGTCAGCGTAGCTCAGCAGTTGAACATTGAACTATGATCCAGGAGATCACAGTTTGATTGCCAGCCAGGGCACATGCCCAGGTTGTGGGCTTGATGCCCATGTTGCGGGCTCAATCCCCAGTAGGGGGTGTGCAGGAGGCAGCCGATCAATGACTCTCTCATCATTGATGCTTCTATCTTTCTCTCTCCCTCTCCCTTTCTCTCCCTGAAAAGACATTTATTTATACACACACACACACATATAAAAATAAAAAAAATGCATAATAGATTGGGAACAGAGACAATAAAACTTCTAGATATACTGAAATCACAACATAAATAAAAAATGAGCAGAAGAACTGGAAGATAAAAGATTATCCAGAAAACATCAAAGACAAAAAGATGGAAAATACAAAAAGGGTTCAAGTAATGTAGGGGCAGAGGCAGGATCTGATTATTCCAGATTTAATGGAAGACAACAACCAACATGTTTAAGAAGCCCAAGAATCTCAAAGATACAAACAAATCATGAAACATTATATAGTCAAATGGCAGAATATCAGAGAATTCTTAAAAGTAAAACAAAAAACAAATCAACAAACATTTTTTAAGAAGTGACAAGAAAAATCAGCTGCTTTTCAAAAATAATGAAAAGACTACACTGAAAGAAAATAACTGCAACCTCAGAATGCTAGACCCCTGCAGAAAATAGCTTTTAAACATAAATAAACTAGAAGATTTCCATCCTTGAATAGTTTGAATAACAAAAACTATGTGATTCCTTAAGGTAAAGGAATCTAAAATCATATGGACTTGGTATGATTTAAACTAGTACATCTTTTGTTTTTTTAAGAGAATTTTTATAATAGTTTAGTTAAGCCAAAACTAACAATTGCTGGGAAAAAGACCTTTAAAATAAATTTGTAAAATCTCAAATACTTAAAACTAGTATCTTTAACAAGATTTAATTGTGTTTTTTCTTGTTATGATTGATCTATTCAGATTTCCTACCTCTTTGGTTAATTATGGTGATTTACATTTCACTAAAATTTTATTTTCTCCAGAATTTCAATTTTGTTATAAAATGACAAAGAATGTACTTTGCACAGAATGTAACAATTCTAATTTCTTTTGTTTCATAACCAATTTGATGTTATGTTCCTCTTTTCCTTGATTAGGCCTACCAGGGATTTAGAAGAAAAGATTTCAGCTTTGCAATCTGCAGAACAGTGAGTGTACAGTAAACCCTCACTTCTTCAGACCTCAATGTAACGGACTTCGGATTTAACTAACAAAATTTCTGGTCCTTATGTCATATATGAAAATGAACACTCTGTTAATTTTAAAATGTTTTTAACCAAGATTTGCTTATAATTAAATTAATAGGTTACTTATTTGGTTATGAATTCACTGTTATTTTTAACAAATTTTAGTGAATAGGCCATATTTTGGAAAAAACACTGTAGTAATTTCATTGACATAAATATTTCATATCTATGACCATCGTCTATATATTTAAATCCAAGAGTCACCACTCTTAAACAATGATTAATGCAAATTATTAGCATGTGATCACACTGCATCCCCAGTGGTAATTGGTTCTGTTCTGTTGTCAAGTTGAATGACTTTCTACAGCAGTTTTTTTTTAAATCCTCACCTGAGGATATTTTTTCCATTTAATTTCAGAGAGTGGAAGCAGGGAGGAAGAGAGAAAGAGAAAGAGAGAAAGAGAGAAAGAGAGAGAGAGAGAGAGAGAGAGAGAGAGACAGACAGACAGAAACATCAATTGGCTGCCTCGCAGGGCTGGGGATTGAGCCTGCAAACAAGGTACGTGCCTTTGACAGGTAACTGAACCCAGGACCCTGGGGCCCATGGCTCTAACCACTGAACCAAACTGGCTAGAGCTCTGCAGCAGTTTTACTTCATGCAGCCGATGTTCTGACGCCTCAACATGTGCATTTGTTTACTCATGGTGACTGGTGAACGCACGCATTTACTAGATCTATTCAGTATATATTTAAAATTTAATACATACAAGAAAACTTTTCTGTGAAGTTAAATTTCTCATACATAAATTACACAAAAGTGTCTACAGAAGTAAAAACGGTANTTAAAAATCTTAATCATTATTTTCATTTGTGGTCCAAATGAACATTTAGGGTAAGTGGTGAAGGAGAATACAGTTCAGAACCACCTCATTGGGGTCTGTTGCTCCATCCTTCTGTTCCCCACAAATTCTTTGGACTTATCTCTTTTTTGTATCTTGTAGCCAGAAAAATTTAATTTTTCTAAACATTGTGTGGAAAGAAGGTGGCTGAAAGATTGGGTTGAAATCCCCAGCTATACTTTTTTACTAGTAAAACTAGCCTCCAGACAGCCATTTAACCTCTCTGAATCACCATTTCTTCATCTCTATTCAGGGCTGGTAACCTTATGAGTAAATATGAATGAGAGTATTCTATTCTTTAATCAGCAAACCTTCAGATGATTTCCCTCTGGTCTCTAATGCTGTGCCTCTCTCTCATTTCAGTTGCCTAAGATAGACTTTTTTGACTATTCTAAATTGGCTCCCCTTGACCAGCGCTGCTTCATCCAAGCTGCTGACCTCCTGATGGCCGACTTCAAAATGCTCAGCAGTCAGGACATCAAGTGGGCCCTGAATGAGCTCAAAGGACACTATGCAATCACCCGAAAGGTGCTCTACTTCGTCTTCTGGTGGGGTCACACCTCTCGAATACTTCTTCCTGTGATAACAGAATGGAGTTCAGCTTGTGGAAATTGGGGTGGTTTATGATGGCAAAGGGCTAAGGAGTTTGTCAGGGTGAAGATAAATAGAGAAAGGTATTTGCTGCTCAGGAAGAACTGAATGAAAAGAAATAATACATTAGAAGCAGCGGAGTTCTGGCTTGACTATAAAGTCTTGGAGGGTAATGAATTTTATCGAGGGATGCAGGATGACTAGTGTGTGAAAGATGTGTTCCAGTGCTGCTCCTTCCAGATGTGCTTTTTGGCTTAGGGCAGGCCACTCAAATCTGCCCCAGACAGGTCAGTTGTCAGGTACATGAGGCAGGGTCTCTAAAAGAGCCCGGGAATGCAGCACTGCTTGGTGAGTAGTGTTTGCCTCACAAGAGAGTGGGCAGCTGCTTGAAAGCTCCCACTGTGCTGCCCACCCCACCCTTGGGCCTAAATAAGACTCCGCTTGAGCGCCTCTGTTCCAAGGCTTTGAAGAGTCCTGGTGACTAGTGGCTAATGTGGACATGCCTCATTAGTAACGTCCACTGCACAGCACCTGTTTCATGGCAGGACAGGAAAGAACACCAGCAGGTCTTTGGTGTGTTCCTTTCTTCTGCTGAAGTTCTTCTGATTCCCAGCAAACAGTATGCTTTTTTCCAAATGACAGACAAAAATGGAGTTGTTTTAATGGTTAAAGCACCCACTATGTCTTAACCTGAAGGATGGTAAGCCCCAAGTGAATGTGACCTCATGCTGAGTCTAAGATCCTTCTACCTTTAGATTGCCAAGAAGATCCAGACTACTGTCAAACTCCTGATCGTAGGTTAATTTTAAGTAAAATTTTTCTGAAGGAATACAGAGTTAGTGGTTTCTATTTCTGAATTTCATTCCCCAGGTCAGGTAACTAGGGGATGTCTGTACTGTGACTGAAAAGTGAATGAGCTTTCCCACAAAAATAGTAACTGCAGGAAAGCTGGGACTCTTATCTTGAGGCCTGCCTGGCGCTCTACTGCTGCAGTGGTTCCTTAGACCTTTCCTGAGCTCCCAGGGAGCCCAGAAGAGAAGTTATCTGGGGGATGGGTGGGTCTTCATTAGTAATTCCATGCCAAAGTTTTGATCATTCCACAGCCCACTTGTTATTTGGTGGGAGGTTGTAGAATTTTGTGGCTCAGTTTCCCTCATTTATACCTTCATTATCCCTTTCCTTATCTTTCTGGCCCTTTACATCTTTTATGGTGTCTGCTTGTTTTGGTGGGTAGTTTGAAATTTTACATGTTATTTGAATGAAAGCGGGGTGTTGAAGGGAAAGTACTGTTAGCTAAAATCTGGTGTGCTCAGTTACAACTTCTCTCTGCAGTGTGCAGATGGTGTGCAAGAGTTCTTCCCTGTAGAAAGTGACACTCATGGACAGGGATGTAGAAGGTACACCCAGAGATGTTTTGTAATTATAGAATAACACGTCATCTCTGTGCGTGCTGTTCCTCAAACATGATGATGGCTTAGGGGAAGTATGTTCACTGTGAAGACAATCACATTTCCCTGCATTTTTTTTTCACTTTTTATTATAAACATCAAACATATATTTTAAAAGAGATCATATTATAATAAGCCCATGCTTACCCATCACTCAGCTTCAGTAATTATCAGCTCCTGCACAATCTTGTTTCATCTCCACTGGCTCCCCTCCTTCCCAGACTGTTTTGAAGCAGATTAAGAATTTTCTCTTCAGTCTGTAAGTTCTCACTCTCCCCTGCCCCAGGCTTGAGTCTCTATCCATTCCTCAGCTTTTATGTCATCAAATGCCCATTATAGTGTTGTTTTTAAGATTTTTTTATTGATTTTTTTAAAGAGGAAGGGAAAAATATCGATGTGAGAGTGAAGCATTGATCAGGCGCTTCCTGCATGCCCCATCACCAAGGATTTAACCCGCAACCCAGGCCATATGCCCTGACCAAGAAACCAGCAACCTTTCAATGCATGAGACAATATCCACCCGTCTGTCTTTAGGTCCTCCCTTAAAGGACCTTTGGCCATTTTCACAAATACCCTAAAAATCATAGTAGGCTGTATCCTTGATTCTCAGAACTTATACCTCGAATGGGTATTTGATTTGTGAACGTGAGCAAACTAGAGGGAGAAATGCCAGATAATAGCAACAGGAAAAATTATGCTTCAACATTTGTTCACATGTTCCCTGGTAGGTTTTTTGAGCACTTACTGACTATCCCTTGAGGACACTGGCATTATGAAACAAAATTAGCTTCCTTCCAAAGAGCTTTCAGTCTCTTTGATGAGATATTTAAAAGGATTAAAGCAGTGTGATTGTATTATGAAAGAGAGGCAGGTACATGAGAACACTAGGAAGGAAATGAAGGTGGCATTTGAACAGTCTCAAAGAATAGATGTCTTCACTAGAGAATGTAGCAAAGGCTACGAAGCAAGAAAAAGTAACTGTGGTGCCTTTGGGGTGTGTGGGTGTGAATTATAACTAGCAGGTCTCGAAAAGAAGGAATTCTGATAATCTAATTTTATCTGGTCTATATGACTAGACCTTCAGTGGCAAAATCTTTAGCACATTTAAATACTTATTAGAAAGATCTAAGAAAGGTAGAAGTGGAAAGGTATGGAAGATGGGATTATCATTGGCATAAGAACTTTGTGCTCCAGGACAAAGATGAAAGCAACGAGGAATGTGAGGGGAGTGGAATGGAGTGTTGATCTGAGAAACAGCATGTAGGTAATCCCTGTGAAGTACAACTCGCTAGCTATTTGTTTTGTGATTTAACCTGTGCTCATTCAAGGACAGTTGAGCAGTTTCTGTTTTCTTATGTTGCCCTTTAATTTGTTAGCAAGTATTTTGGTTCTGCCATTGTAGTAGTTTATGAAAGTCAGAGAAAACAAAAATAAGTAATTAAATGCTACCTGTTTATTTTGCCACTACCTATTTCTGTAAGCCATGCAGGGGAGATAGCTGAGACTGAGTTAAAATGAGATTTTGGAATTGCCTGTGTTTCCCATATTCTTGTGTCCCGTCTATCGTGGTAACCTTTCCCTTTCTCAATTTTTAGGCCTTTTCTGATGCCATTAAAAAATGGCAGGAGCTATCACCAGAAACCAGTGGAAAAAGAAAAAAGAGAAAAGAAATGAATCAGTATTCTTACATAGATTTCAAGTTTGAACAAGGTAATGGCAAACTGTATGAAGCTGCTGTGCAGAACCACCCCCTTCCCACACACACGGAAGGGACGTCATGGTACAACTGCTTAGGGAATGTCCTGCAGACGAGTCCAAGGAGCGACCTTAACATGGACTGCTTGGACCGCACATCAGTGTTTTAGAAAGTGGCTACAGTTGTCGCCCTCCTTCTTTCTGCTGAGGAGACACCATGACAGGAAAATTTCGTGCAATGTTAGAGAATTCGCACATGGGAAAATGTTTGGGGAACCCTTAAGCTTGGGAGAAAAATGGTCTTGGATGTTTGATGAGAATTCGCTTTATCACTAGTAAAAACTATCTAGACCAGAGATTGCTTACTGCTGAGGGGTCACTTATACACCTGAGAGTGGCTTCTCACAGAACAAAACAAACAGCTCTGAAGTAGTCACTTGCTTATTTAAAATTCTGTTATTCTTACTGATTAAATAACTGCTGAAAACTCTTCCAAAAAGGTTACGTTAGGTCTAATCTCCGCAAAAGGTAAACTTGTTGAACTTTACAGCAAATTTCATCTGCGTTGCTTATGTTCAAGGAAAGAGTCCACTACAACTTTTCCTATAGATTATGTCATAAAAAGGAACATTTCCCTTTCCTTTTCTGTATCTTACTGTTACATCTGTACTTAGTTTTACAATTTGATTTCAGGTGTGACTAAATGGAAACTCCATGATATAGCTGTAGGGTTGAAAAGTATTTGGATTTCTGAACTCTTCAGGACCTAAAAGAAAATATTCTAGGCCCTGACTCCTAAGGTTCCCAAGCTAGTCTGTGGAGCAGTGCTCTCCTGATGTGATGCTCTCACAGGTCTGTGGCAGAATGAGAAAGTGGGGACTGTGCGAGTGGCTTTTTTCATTCAGCTACATATGCATAAGTCCCTAATGCATAGTTATGTCATATTTGTTTCTGACTTCTAGTGGTAGAGAAAGGAAAGTAACACATTGTAAGATGGTCCACTCCCTTGTTAGTCAGCTCTGTCGTTTAAAAAATTCTTTTTTATCAAGCCAAAGGGAAAGGGTACTTCCCGAGATTTCCCACCTTGGTTGTCGCTTTCGCCTCGGAGAGCCTTGGAATCTGCCTGTTGCTGCTTTTCTTCCTGGTTTCCGTCTCCGTGTGCCCCTCACTAGCATGTCGGCGCCTCTGAGAGTTGGGTGTAGCGGCCTAGACAGAGTTTTCCAAGTGAGGCCCGCTGTGAGGACAGAGCTCTGATTTAGATTCTGCTCTTAAGTCTGTACAGCCTAAGAATGTTATAGCTTTGTAAAATCAGGTATGTCCCACCTTTGGCTCACAGTGAGCCCTGGTCTGTTCATCCTCCTCGATTTTACCTCACTGATGTCTCAGTTTTGATGCATCTGACATTTTTCCCTGTTAACTTGGTCTTCCTAGTTTTACCCATTGTTTCAGGTATATCCTTTTTAATTTTAGATTCTGGTTCTTACATTGCACTTATTAGATCATCTTTAAGAACACTGGAAGTTAGAAAGAGAAAATACACTTGATTTACATTAGTAGTCTAATGTTTTTGACTTAGAGATACATTTAACTATTTTTTTAAATCCTCACCTGAGGATATGTTTTTATTTATTTTAGAAAGAGAGGAAGGGAGAGAGAGAGAGAGAAGCATCAATGTGAGAGAGAAACATCCATTGGTTGCCTCCCACATGTACCCTGACTGTGGATCGAACCTACAACCTGGGTATGTGCCCTGACCAGGAATCAAACTGGTGACCTTTCAGTGCACGGGACAGTGCTCAACCAAGCCACACTGGCCAGGGCATAAAAAAATATATATATATTTTAAACATATCTTTATTGATTTCAGAGAGAGGAAAGGAGGGGGAGAGAGAGAGAAACATCAATAATGAGAGAGTCATTGATTGGCTGCCTAGCCCGCCACCCAGGCATGTGCCCTGACCGGGAATAGAACCCCGATCTCCTGGATCCTAGGTCCATCTAGGTCGATGCTCAACCGCTGAGCCACGCCCGGCCGGGCAAAATATTTTTTAATATGCATCAAGAACAAGTGGAGTGTATTCCAGATATGGAGTGTATTCGTATTTAAAAACGAATCAGTGCGATCCACCATGTTAATAGAATAAGGAGTAAAAATCACCTGGTCATATCAGTTGATGCAGAAAAGGCATTTAACAATATTTAACACCTATTCATGATTACAACTCTCAGAAAGTTAGGAATTAAGAGGAGTTTTCTCAGCTTGATAATGTCTACAATAAAATCTATTCCTAACATGCTTAATGGTGGGTGAATCCAAATCCTTCTCCCCCACCCCCAAGATTGGGAGCAAGGAAAGGATGTCCTCTATTCACTGCTATTCATCATAGTCCTAGTCCTAGAAGTTCTAGCCCATGTGATAAAGAAAGGGAAATAAAAGGTACAGATCAGAAAGGAAAATAAAACTCTTTGTAAGCAGATGACATGATAGAAAAAACTTTAAGGATTCTACCCTAAACTCTTAGAACTGTTAAATAAGTTCAGTAAGGTTGCATGATATAAGATCAACCTACAAAAATCAATTATATTTCTGCATACGAGCAATGAGTATGTGGAATCAAAATTAAAAATACACCACCACCATTTATAGTCACTCCTCCTGTAATTAAATACTTAGATGTAAATCTAACAAGACATGTACAGGACTTGTATGATGAAAACTACAAAACTGAAGAAAATCAAAGAAGATGTAAATGAATGAAGATACATACTGTGTTCATGGATTGGAAGGCTCAACATAGGAAGGATAAAAATCCTTCCGTAATTATATACAGGCAGACCTCATTTTATTGCACTCTTTGCTTTATTGCGTTCTGTATTTGCATCAACATTGAGGCGAGACCTACCACCAGCAAAAAGATAACAGCTTGCTGAAGGCTTAGGTGATAGCTACCTTTTTTTAGTAATAAAGTATTTTTTAATGAAGGTATGTACATTGTTTTGTTTTTTAGGTATAATGCTACTAAACTTAATTCCAGTATGACATAGATGTAATTTTTATTTTATTTTATTATTATTATTTTAAAAATATATCTTTATTGATTTCAGAGAGAGGAAAGGAGAGGGAGAGAGAGAGACAGAAACATCAATGATGAGAGAGTCATTGATCCAGCCCGCAACCCGGGCATGTGCCCTGTCCGGGAATAGAACCCGATCTCCTGGATCCCAGGTGGACGCTCAACTGCTGAGCCACACCCGGCCGGGCATAGATGTAATTTTTATATGCACTGGGAAACCAAAAGGTTTCTGTGACTTGATTGTGGTACTAGCTTTATTGTGGTGGTCTTGCACTAGACCGGCAATATCGCAGGTATGCATGTACAGGTTCAGTGTAATTCCTATTCGGTCCCAGCAGGATTTTTTCGGTAGATAAAATAGATAAGCTTATCCTGATAGGGAAAGGTAGGTACTAGAATAGCTAAAGTAATTTTTAAAACGAGTGAAGTAGGACAAATACTTGATTTCAAGACTTACTACATAGCTACAGTGATTAAGACCAGGTGGTGATGGCAGAAAGCTATACACATGAATAGATGGAAAAGAATAGAGAACAAAAAACTGGTTTTCTAAGTAATAAAAACTTTTTAATTTTTAAAAACTACTGAGAATGAACAAGAAGAAAAAGAATATCTGGAACCTGATATAGTAAATATTGATAAAAATCAAAAGATTTACTAAGAACAGGCTTTTGTGAGTAAATAGAAAGTCTGGATGGAGTAGACAATTTTCTAGAATTGAAAATTATCAAATCAACAGAAGAAATAGAAAATCTGAACAGACCAATTTTACATGATGTGATATTTATCATTCTGTTACCTTTTATTCTAAGATTTATTGTGAATCTAGGTCTTATATTCTTTCAGCTTTTCCATTTGAAATCTTCAAGATACAAAGTTTAAAAACATACATAAAACACATGTGCACCTACCAGAATGGCTAAATTTGAAAACTGATGATACCAGGTGTTGATGCAGATATGGAATGACTGGGACTCATACGTTGCTGGTGGAGGGAAAGTGTAACTTGGAAGAACCACATTGGAAAACTGGCGCTGTTTTCTAAAGCTGATGCAGCAATTCCATTTCTTCCTGTGTGCTCAACTGAATTGTAGACATATGTTCAGTAGCCCAATTTATACTAACGCCAAACTATAAACCCACCTGTCCTCAGTAATAGAATGGGTAATAAGCTGGTATATTCACAGCACGGTACTGTCGGGCTAGGAGAGTTGCTCCAATTGGAATATAAGAAGGGGAAAAATACATGAAAGTCAAAAAGTGCATATAGGTTAGGGGGTGGAATAGAGTCCAATTTCCCCAAATGGTGGCACATGCAAGAGAGGAACGAAATGTGCTTCTAGAAAGTAGGTGGGGCCCATGCCACAGAAGACTGGGATGACTGGCCTGGGTTCCTAGCAAACAGTTGTCTGCATGATTTTGCATTGTCATGTCTCCTAGGTGACATAAAAATAGAAAGAAGGATGTTCTTTCTGGAAAATAAGCGGCGACATTGTAGGTCCTATGACCGGCGTGCCCTCCTTCCAGCTGTGCAACAAGAGCAGGAGTTCTATGAACAGAAAATCAAAGAGATGGCAGAGGTAGGAAGATGTGTGTAGAATGTGTTTCTGGGATTCTGGTTTGCTTTTAGGGCTTACTATAAAATTATCTTTTAAGATTTGCCTTTTCTTTTGTGTGATTGATTTGAATAAACTTTTTTGTTTTGTTTTTTAAATATATCTTTATTGATTTCAGAGAGAGGAAGGAAGAGAGAGAGAAACATCAATAATAAGAGAGTCATTGATGGGCTGCCTCCTGCACACCCCCTAGTGAGGGTCAAGCCCATAACCCCGGCATGTGCCTTGACTGGGAATCAAACCTCTATCTCCTGGATCATAGATCAATGCTCAACCGCTGAGCCCCGCCGGCCTGGCAACTATTAAGTTTTTAAAAGGAAAACTGGGTTTTGTAATGATACTAAGTTTCACAGTTTCATAAGTCAGATTTATGTCAGGATTTTAATTGGAACTTAGCACACATTCTATTTGACCTCCCTCGGCCTCTAATAGTGGGTAAAAACCAGAGAGAGGGGCCATTGAGCTCTTTAATTCTTCCAAATCTACCATCAAATGCCAGTCAACCAGAATATGTATTTTGGGTTTTTTAATAGATATTTTCTAGACCAGCAGCCCTGAAAGTATGACCCACGGATCCCTGGCTTCCCCAAGACTTTTTTTTTAATTGATTTTTGAGAGAGAGAGAGAGGAAGGGAGAGGGTGAGAGAGAAACACCAATCAATTGTGTCCCACATGCACCTGACCAGGGATTGAACCTGCTAACCTTTAGTTTATGGGACGATGCTCCTACCCACTTAGCCACACCAGCTAGGGCCCCAAGACTCTAGGTGTTCTGCAAGGTTACATCTCTTGTAATAATGATAAGACATTATTTATCTTTTCACTGTTGAATTTTTACTGACAGTACAACTGTGCCTTAATAGGAGTCAAGCCAGTGGCACCAGATTGTACCAGTAATCATTTTCATCACCACCATGCACACATTTTTTTTTTTTTAAAGGCAATGTCACCTAATGTAGCAGATGACAGGTAGGTAACTCTGTGACGGATTGATCAAGATGATTTCTCCAAAATTCTAATTTCTGCTTGAGTTCTAGAATTTTATCATTGGCCACAAATAATCACTTCATTTGGTTTCGAGAAATGTCTGCCAAATACCTAATTTTGAATAATCAGAGTTTTTCTGTCATTTTTCTTTTTTTCTGTAAAAAAAAAAGAAAAAAATGCCTGATTCAGCAGCTTGCAACTCAGTAGCACAAGGGCTTCTCCTTGAGACGACCATCATAGGGTACAGCAAAAGCACTTTGCACATTTTATCAGAGTATTGAAAAGATGTTTTTGAGGGTCAAAATTTGATAAATTTTAAACTGCTAAACCATGTAACTAAAGAAATGATTATTAATTATAGTTCTTTTACGTCTGTGGAAATAAATTCTAAATGGTTTGTGACATCTTTACTAAATTTTTATCTGCATGTCTCGTTTTTTTGTTCCTCAGCATGAAGACTTTTTGCTTGCTCTGCAGATGAATGAAGAACAGTATCAAAAGGTATTTTGAAAATTCACCTAATTCATTTATCCTGGTATTTTTCATGGGCCGTTTTCTCTTATCACATTTCCTCAGCATTTTGATGGCACACTGGTTCCCGGATAATCTGTTGATCTGCTGAGTTTGTAATCGCATTGCAGTCAGGTACTTGAAACATTGTCGCTCTTAATACCAGACTGGATGAGAATTGAAGGGGAGATGATAGAAATGTTCCTGTTAAGGAACACTGCCTAGAATCCATTGGAATAAACTCTTAGAGGAAAATTTAGAACTCAGGTATTGCTGAGAGTTAGAAGGCAGAAACCGGTATAACCTCAGGGCCGGATGAGTTTTGTACTCTTTACTGTTCCTCGCATAGTGGCCTTTTCTTTCATGGTAGGAATTTGCTTGTGATTGCTGCTATAGTTAGCTTCAGTGGTTCCTTAAGAAAAAGTTTGGGTTGGGAAATGATCTTCTCACATAATTATCCTATAGCAAAAAAAGAAAATCCAACTTTTGAAGCTTTTTAGGTAACATCTGTCATGCCACTTGTCCCTGACTCTTACAGTCACGTTAGCAATATAATCTGATTGCAGATGGTGCAGTTCTGCTGGCACCATGGAATTCATAAATATGATCATTTTAAATAAAGGATGACACCAAAAAATACCCAAAAAAGTGAAAATCTCACTTTCTTTATGTATTGGTATTTGTACTGGCATTTCAAGGTACATTTATACAACAGAAAACAGCTCATCGTTGTTCTGTGGCTTCTAGGGGTTGCTCTTTACCTCTTGGTGAGGGTGGGGTGGGGAATATGAGACCTGCAGGCCTTCTACTTGAATGTGGGAAGTTTCACATGTGTTTGTGACGGCCTGCAGGATGGCCAGCTGATTGAGTGCCGCTGCTGCTATGGGGAATTTCCATTTGAGGAGCTGACTCAGTGTGCAGATGCTCACTTGTTCTGCAAAGAGTGTCTCATCAGATATGCCCAGGAGGCAGTCTTTGGATCTGGAAAGGTAAGAACTGGAATACACCCACAGACAGGAAACATTCAGAGTCTGAGGAGACCATGTTTATAGACAAGTATAAATACCTTGTGGAAGTGCCTTTGCTAGAGTGAGGTGGACCTTAAGCTACGCTGAAACACACCATTGGTTCAGCACCACTGACTTAGAATTTAGAACAATGGGTATAATGTAACAAAGTCCCCGACACAAAGGACACCACATAAGCAAGGAGACAAGCAATCGCAGAGAACTTGACTTCCTCCTGATGATCCTGAACATCCCTCGCTCCTCTGGTTGAAAGCATCCCTCTGCTAAGACATATTAATGTGTGTGATTCCTAGACAGTCCCTGATTTGTGTGATTATGTTGGTTCCAAGCACAGCAGATTTCTTTTCAGGGGGTGGAGTTCTTCTGTGCCTCTATCCTTCCGTGTCACAGGAGCACCTGCTTCTTCCTTCATCTTCCAGTTCCTAAGAAAAATGAAGGACAAACTCTAAAAGAGAGAATCTTGCAGCCTGTTTGAATGTATGGGAGAGCAAATTAGTAATTTTTAACTGATTTTTGAAGGATTTTATAGCTGTATTAAAATCAGTAACTGTTTTATACAAGATTACATTTCTCTTTCCAGAGTTAGTTTCTCTTGACACTGTCATAACACAATACGGAAAGGAACTTATTTTGTCTTGATGAATACTTAAAAACCAAAATTGTTTTTCATAAACACCCAACCAATAATCAAATCACTCATTATCATCAATTATTCTAAGGTCAGTTGTGGTGTAGTCAAGGACTGAGTAACAGCGATAAGCAGAGTGGTTGTGATTGGCAGAATAATGTCCCCCCATCCCCAAGATGTCTACCTTCTTATCCCTAAAACCTGTGAATATGCTACCTTACATGGCAAAGGGAAATTAAGATTGCTAATCAGATCACCTTAAAATAGAGATTGTCCTGGATTATCCAGGTAGGCCTGGTATCATTACAAGGGTCCTTAAAAATGGACAAGAGCAGCAGAATTGGTCAGAGTGCTGTGGTGTGAGGACTCAACCTGTCATAAGTGGCTTTGAAGATGAAGTCCAGAGCCCTCTGGTCCAGTGGTTCCAGAGACTGTCCTTTCTCCTGAAAGAGTTTAAGTCACCTGACTCCATCTGCAGGGGGTAGGAACTAGAGACTTTTCAAACAGTCCTCCAGTTTTTATTCCTGTCATTCCCTCCCTTCCTACTACTTACATCTGCCTTCCAAGATGTCTAGACCTCCAGCCTTTCCAGGGGCTGTAGAGGGAACCAGTTTGCTGCTCACGAGTATCTCCTCTTCAGACACTGAGCTGCAACCTTCCCCCTCCAGTCTGCTTAGACTTTTACCCTTCCTCATCCACTTTCCATCGTCATGTATTGTGGATTGGGCTGATAGAGGTCCTTTGGGGCAATCAAACATGGGCTTTGTATTTTTGTTTCATGGTTTCCTTGTTGTTTGGAGTATGGTTTCTCAGAAAAGAGAGGACAGATATCTTTATCATCTCAGACCCTGTGTTCTTCCCCCCCTCCCCCGACCCGGTGTTCTTAATCACCATTTATTTGCTTTAGATGCATTTAACCACTGAGGCTTTTCATTTTTCTGAAACCATGGTTGAATTTTCTTTTTTCTCTCTTTGCCTCCTGACTTTATCATTCTAGTCAGAGCTCAGCTGCATGGAAGGTAGCTGCACATGTTCATTCCCAACCAGCGAACTGGAGAAGGTGCTTCCCCAGACCATCCTGTATAAATACTACGAGCGGAAGGCTGAAGAAGAAGTCGCTGCAGCCTACGCTGACGAGCTTGTCAGGTGAGTGCTCAGAGCTGGAGTGTGTCGTCTGTCTGCTCATTCTCTGTTAGGAAGGCTGCCTGAGCACTTGCACCAGGTGGTTAAGATTCTGTAACAAAGCTGTATTTTCCAGATTTTCTGGCATTTCTTGCTGAATAATAAAAGAATAATTTTATTAATGGAAAAAATCTGCAGTTCAAATTTTTGCCTATATCCCTTGGCATTTCTTAGTCATACGGCTTATTGGTACTAACATTGTATATTGGGCTGGAGGAACAGCGACATGTGCGAGGAGTTCTCAGAAAGGTATGTTTATTGAATAGTTTGCACTGAGGCAGGACTCAGAATGGCACCTGCATTTCCTGGTAAGAGCCAGAACAAAGGAGAACCTCAGTCCATGTTTTAATGAAAAGTAAGGAATAAAAGGAAATGTGGCCGTCCAGCTGAAAACTCCATTGTGTATGAACAGTCACATGGAACCACATCAGGGTTTACTATTCTGAATAACATTCTTTCTGCTGTTTGACTCTAGGTGCCCCTCCTGTAGCTTTCCTGCTCTGTTGGACAGTGATGTGAAGAGGTTCAGTTGTCCCAATCCTCGTTGCCGAAAGGTAGGAAGGCAATTTTTTTCTACCTTTATATCTGAATTATGGTATTATGAGCTACCCTCATGGCACACATATCTACTGGTTATCTGTGTGCTGACCCATGAGAAGGTTTTGAGTACTCTTTTTTTTTTTTTTTTAATGAAAGCAAATGAAGATCATACTTTGTGAATGGTGGTTGACATGGTTACAGAGATGGGGGCCACTGCTGAATTGCAGTCACAAAGCTCTGGATCTCTGTTTTATGCCATCTTCCTGTATTGTAATGTGAAATATAGAGAGTTTTGTGTTTCTTCCACAGTGCTGGCATTATTCTTGGTTTCCCTTTTCACCACCCTGTTGTACTCAAATAGTTTCATACCCTGCAATTTTCAATGTCTTAACCTCACTTCTTTGACTAAAGAGCTGGGCATCATGGTGGCATCTGTTATGGTAGATTATTCACTCAACTGTTCTCATGAGAATTGACTGTGTCAGGTGAGATCAAAGCTATTTAATCACCCCACTGTTGAAAATCTCTTTAACTAGACTCCTATTCTGTGTACTAAGAATGTCTTAAAATTTGTGAGCTATCACTTAGAGTTGTTTTTTCTTGACTTTTAGAGAGAGAGAGAGGAAGGGAGAGAGAAATATCAGTTTGTTCCACTTATTTATGCATTCATTGGTTGGTTCTTTTTTTTATTGATTTTAGAGAGAGAGAGGAAGCGGGGGGTGGGGAGAGAAACATTGATTTGTTGTTCCACTTATTTATGCATTCATTGGTTGCTTCTTTTATGTGCCCTGACTGGAGATTGAACCTGCAACTTTGGCATATTAGGATGATGTGTTAACCAACTGAGCTACCTAGCCAGGGCCAGCCACTTAGAGTTTTTAATGAATATTGGCATCCACTTAGACAAGTATCTTTTAAGCCATTTTTCTAAACTAGCATGATCAGAATTGAATACTGTATCTCTGCTTTGAAATGAAAGTGGATATTGGAAAAGGAAGAAAGAAACTAAATCAATGGACTAAAACTTTATTTGTTTTGTTTTCAACATTAACATTTGTGTGTAAAACCTGGGTGTATTCTCATAACTGATGTGTTCATTTACTAATTTGTCCCCCACCTCAGGCTGTTGCTATATAACAATTGTCCTAAGAGTCTCTGGCATCTTAGAAGTAAGAAATTGGAGTAACTGACAATCCAAAGATACAGAGAACAAGGAGGCAGTAACCAAGGGAAGGAAAGGGTAGGAGTGAAGTGTAAGTGAAGATGTTGGAATGTTCTGAGTCCAAGGAGCAGTAGCATCCTGGACACTGACTAGTTCTGGGAGAGTGAAGGGAAAGGTTCATGAGCTGGGTAGGGCCAGAGCCATGGGGCCTTGACACCATTCTGAGGCGCAGGGATGAGGGGACTGAAATATCAGGGAGATCTCTTTGGCTATTGAGTGATCCAGGTGAAAGATACATGCAGAAATCAGTTGTTTCTTTACACTAACGACAAACAATCCAAAAATGAAATTAAGAAGGCAATCTCATTTACAGTAGTATCAAAAATAATAAAATACTTAGGAATAAACTTTAACCAAGAAGGTGAAAGATTTGTACACTCTAAACCACAAAACATTGTTGAAAGAAATTAAAGAAGACACAAATAAGTGGAAAGACATCCATGTTCATGGATTGGAAGACTAATATTGTTAAAATGTCATACTGCCCAAAGCCATCTACAGATTCAGTGCAATCCCTGTGAAAATCCCAAAGACATTTTTTGCAGAAACAGAAAAAACAATCATAAAATTCATATGGAACTACAAAGGACCCAAATAGCCAAAACAGTCTTGAGAAAGAACAAAGCTGGAGACCTCACACTTCCTCACTTCAAAGCATATTGCAAAGCTTATAGTAATCAAAACAGTATGGTCCTAGCATGAAGACAAACATAAAGGCCAGTAGAATAGTCAAGGATGCCAAGACTACACATGGGGAAAGGATAGTCTCTTCAAATGTGCTGGGGAAACTATATAACCATGTGCAAAAGGATGAAATTAGACATTATCTTATACCTTAACTTAAAAAGCAACTCAAAATGGATTAAAGACTTAAACATATGACCTGGAACTATAAAACTCTTAGAGAAGACATAGGGGGAAGTTGGTGATTTTTCTGGATATGACACTAAAAACAGATAGCAAAAACAGTAGATAAATGAGATCACATCTGCACAACAAAGAAAACCGTGAAAAGGCAACCTATAGCATGGGAGAAAGTATTTGCAAATCATTTATCTGATAAAGGATTAATATCTGTAATATATAAGGAACTCCTACAGCTCTAACAAACAAAAAACAACTCTATTAAGAAAGGGGCAAAGGACTTGAATAGACTTTTCTCCAAAGAAGACATACAAATGACCAACAGGTATATGTGAAGGTGCTCAACATCACTAATCATCAGGAAAATGCAAATCAACCACAGTAAGGTATCACCTCACATCTGTTAGGATGGCCACTATCAAAAAAACAAGCAGCCCTGGCTGGTGTGGCTTAGTGGAAGAGCATCAGCTGGCACACCAAAGGGTCACCGGTTTGATTCCTGGTCAAGGGCATGTACTTTGGTTGCTAGTTCGTCCTGGCCCTGGTCAGGATGTGTGCAGGAGACAAGCAATCAATGTGTCTCTTTCACATCCACGTTTCCCTCTCCCTCTCCCTGTCCCCCTCCCTCCTCTTCTTCCCCCTCCCCCCTTCCTTCCACTTTCTCTAGAAAGCAATGGAAAAAATATCCTTGGGTGAGGATTATGTTGAGTCTTGCTATCGAAGTTCAAAGTATGTCTTTCCATTCAAGTCTTGTTACGTTTCTCGGTAATGTTTTGCATTACAGGGCATTGTCTATTACGGTGTGCTTCAGAACTTGATCCTCGCCTGTGTATAATACCATTCACGTTCTAGACTTGCTTTCTACTCTTAGGGGAAGGTCTTCCAGTGTTTGGCCCACCATAGAAAATAAAGTGAAAATTAAGTCTCATGGGAACCTGAGGCAGGTTGCAGAGCAGTTCCCACCCTGTCTTTTGAATAGGGAGAGCTTATAATTACAACCAAGACCCATCCTTATTATGAGCTATGGAAAGAGTTGCCACTAGGTGGCACTGATGCTCCATGAGGAAAGGTTTTTCTCTTGAGCAGTTTAAAATGTATATGTCAGCAGAACATTGTCTTGTAAGCAGGATTGACATAATTCTTTTAGGCTTAATACTGAAGCAAACCACTACATGCATTCTGAATGTAATGTCAAAGATGTCAGTATTGTTCCTCCAAATTCTCCTTATAACATCCTTTCTCTTCAGCTAGGAGGCTAAACCAACCGTTAATCCCGAGGTAATTTTGTCCGCTGTGAGACTAAGGGCATCAGCTTCCTCACTGTAGTGATTTTGCCAGTAATCATAACTCCAGTTAGATTTCCAGGAACTTGGCACTCTGAGATGAGGCGTTTATATTAATGCATTGTCTGGAGGAGGGCTCGAATGCCTGCAATCATTCCCCTGAAATCCCTGAATACTAAGACACTGTATCTCTGATGAAATGAGGGAAGAGTCTTGGTTTCATTGGTGATTTGGAATGCTTTGTCACAGCCCTCAGTACCTGTTTCACCCATGTTCTCAGGTAAAGGAGTCATCAGTTTGTTTTCAGCATGTTACTCTTAGGAATGAATTGGATGTGTTGGGTTTGGGACTGCAGTGTTGGATAAAAGGAAATTTGAAAGCAATGCTCCTGGAATATTTATTCTTAGGGTCAGAAATTTCCCTGTTGAGTCTTTTCTATCTTTCCAAAACCATAACTTTGCTCCATAAAGTAGAGCTTTCCAGAAAGGTAGCCAGGGCCCCAAACAAGGTGGAAGTTTAAGAGTACTCAGGAGACAAGTGCTAAAGAAGGGGATGGTGACACTTTAATCAGAGTAACTGAAGAACACTGAGTTTGGAGCCTGAGAATGTGAATGTGTAACCACTTATCTCTTCTGTATGTCACATATTTGTTTTTAATGTCTCTTTCTCACTCACCAACTCTCTTACCTTCTTTTTTCATCTTTTCCCACCCTTTCCAGGCCCCTTCCCATCCTTTGTAGCATTTAGTGTTATTGACTACAAAAGTGAAATATAACCAAAATTCACATCTGCAGTGAACCAGTTTGTTGCTTTAAAAAACTAGGCATCTGCAGCCGCCTACAGTAGCTGAATGACTGTGTGAAGAGAATGTAAATGAGTCGGGACCAGCTGTCAGTGCCAGGGCGGCACCAGCTGTGACAGTGGACGGTTGGCACTTATTAGCAGCACTATAATTTGAAGCCCAGCCAGTCAGCTGACTTGTGCCCTGAGTACAGGACTTTACATTTATCCAGATATGAATGAAGCTTGATCTTCTTGTTCCCACTGTCAGGGAAGAGCTTTATTCAGGAAGTAATGTTGACAAAAACTAAATGTCTAGATAACAAAAGGAGTTTTTTGTGTGTGTTTTTTAATATATCTTTATTGATTTCAGAGAGGGGAAGGGAGAGGGAGAGATAGAAACATCAGTGATGAGAGAATGGTCATTGATCAGCTGCCTCCTGCACGCCCCCAACTGGGGATGGAGCTCACAACCTAGGTTTGTGCCCTGACCGGGAATCGAACCACAATCTCCTGGATCCTAGGTCAATGCTCAACCTCTGAGCTACGCCTGGCCGGGCAACAAAAGGAGTTTTAAGTCCCCAGAATGAGGGCTTATTTACTGGTGTGGAAGTCCATGCTACATAATGCAAGTCCATGAAAGAAGTAGGGGAAGGGGTCCTTCTCTGAAATTTAGCCTGTTCCTGTTTTCTCTCAAGTTGAGGTGCTTCCTTCAGAGCCTCAGGATTCCGGCTGAATAGCCTAAGATCTCAGGCTGCAATGATTTTCAAGAGTGCCTTGCAGAGTCCTTACTCTGGTTGGTCCCCACAGCCACCCTGTAAAGGACACCAAAGTGTAGTTAGGTGATGATAAACTGTGGAGCTAA